GGGAGTAAAATGCTTGAGCTCAGCTGCCTGGGGGCTCACAGACCTTCTTGTACTTCTGCTTCTTGGCTGTGGTGTGGGAGGGGGAAGGTGTTGGATTGCAGTGCGGGGGCTTCGGGGAGTAGAGAGGTAACCGAAGTGGCCCGGATGATGAGGATGTCGAAGAGGGCACCTGATTGGACCGTGGAATGAGTCTGCACACACAGGTGGCCTGCAAGATGTACCCCTGGGGATGCAGGCAGGAGCAGTCATGTGATGGGTGGGGGACACATCCCTCACCTCCCTCATCCCCCCCCGCCAGTGTCCTTAACAAAAGACCCTCGGTGTCATTTCCTCTGTGACTAGGTCAGCCTGGATTCACGCCCTGTACCCTGAGCATGAGGCCCACCTGGCCAGCCGTCCTACCACCTCAGACACTCTGCCCCACATACAGGCTCTCCCGTTGCCCCGCTGGTGAGCATCACGTGGTGTGGACAGGAGTGCACCCTGGCTTGTGCTGCATGCTGTTTCTTGTCTCTGGGTGTCTCGTCTCCCCAACAGATTGGCACGTTCTACAAAGGGCTATGTCTTGCCTTCTCAATGATAATACTAAAAGTATCTCCTATTTATTTGTTCATTCATTCATTCCACAAATATTCATTGTGCCGGTCACTGGAAACAGGAAAGTGAACAGAAATAGACATGGTCTCTGCAGCCTAGTAGAGGCAGTGATAGTCACCACACAAATGAGGGTAAAAGTCTTGGCCCTGACAGTGGAGGAAAAGAGGCAAGAGCCTGTTATGGAAGCTCCAATGGGGTAAAAAATCAGGGAAGACTTCCTTGAAGAAGTGCTTTTTGCTGAGGTCTGAAGGATGCATAGGTTAATGATAAAAGAGTGTGGCCAAGTGTATCCCAGACAGAGGGAGCAGCATATTCAAAGGTCCTGTGGCAGAAGAAGCAAGTGAGGACCAAGGACTGAAGGCAAGCCCACATGGCTAGGTCTCAGAGCATGGAGAGCAAGGGGAGAGGGGTGTGAACTGAGGCAGACGAGGAGGGTCCAGCCCGAGCAGGCATGACACGCCATGTAAAAGCAGGTGGTCTTCATCCAGAGAACAACAGGAAGTCTCTGGAGGCTTTTAAGCTGGCAGGGACAGCATAAATGACATGATTAGATTTGCATCTTGAAAAGATCACTCCTGCTGCTATGCCGGGAACCCACTGGAGGCTGGCCAAAGTGGGGGTGAGGAGATGTGCTGGGAGGCTGCGGTGCAGGCCAGGCACTGGAGAGGACCTCAGTGTGGACCGGGGGGCGGGGGTGATGGTGGTGGAGGGGAGGTGACAGTGCCAAGTGAGATGTAGCTTCCTCGGCTATGGATTGTTTGGTGGGAATGAGGGAGGGTGAGGACCAGAGATGGTTCCAGGTTTGGGCCTATGTGACTGATGGGTGCTGGCACCCTTCGATGAGACAGGTGTGCAGGAAAGAAATGTGGTTGTTGCTGCTCTTTACCACACAGTACGCTAAGCACTTTCATGAATCATCTCCCTCGATCCTCCCAACAGCAGGAGTCTGCCTGTTACCACCGTTTTATGGGCAAAGAAATGAGGCTCAGATGAACAAGCCCAAGGTTGCATCCATATGGCAGATTATGCTTTCCTGCCCCCAAATCCTGTGTCCTGTGCCCTGAGCCACCCCCTCTGAGCTGGAATACATATTTGCAAAAGGAGGGCATGGAGGGAAAGAAGAGAGAGCCCGTGCAGGCTGCAGGCCTGGAGCTTTGTTCCTTCTGCTCGGAGGCCGACCCAGGAGCTAGACTTGTATTGTTTAACGCCCACACAGTTGCAGGCTGCGGGAAGCAAGATACAGCCAAGGGCAGGAAGCTGGTGCTCGCTCCCCTGGGGCAATTCCGCTCAGTGGAAGCCCATCTCAGGCAGGGAAGGAAGGGACCACGCCAGGCCCCGAGACCGTCCCTGACATAATGGTGCAGTGTTTCCTTTGCACCGAGTCGATATCATGGCTGGCTTGCCCTCTCTGTCCCTGGCTTTTTTAAAATGCCACCTGCCTAATTTTCTTTATTGGAACCTCGGAACAAAGACCAAGCCCATAAGGAGAAAAGGCTCATTATTCTCTTACTGATCGGAAATTTAACAGAGCAGCAATTGTATATTATTTGAACTGGAGCGTGTTATCTTTTTGCTGGCCCAGATTCCCCATCCAGAGACGCTGCAGACCCATGAAGACGACAGAGAGGTGGCGAGAACTGGGGGCTCCGCAGTGTTGGCTGGTAGCCTGAAAACAGGCTTGTGCGTGGGCTGGGGCAGGCGCGTCCTGCCGCGCTACCCCAACCCTCCACAGCACTCCACAGGACAAGAGGCAGCAGGGACGTTTGGGACATGCAACCCATCCCTCTTCCTGTCCTTCCAGACTGGGACTTGACCAACAGCCTTTGACCCAGCCTCTGGAGGGCGACTGGTCCAAGCCGCTCCTGTCCCCAGGCTGGGCGGGTCTGCATCCCATGGTCTGTGGGGAGAAGACAACACAGCTGTTCTGCACTCTCTCCTAGTTTCTTGCATTGCCCCCAGCAGCATAGATGTTCATCCAACCAGATATTTATTGAGGGCATGTGCATGCCCATCCTCCCAGCCTCATTTCCAAGTGTTCGCTTCTAGAACCCGCATCATGCAGCTGATGAGCAGTGTGACTGCTCCCCCATCCCCAGCAAAGTCTTGTCCCAGGGTCATCCCACCTTGCCTTCTCTGCCTATTCAAGAGGCATCAGCCACACTCCCGGGGACATGAACCCTGGAGAGCTATGGGCACCAGCTGGACTCCTGGGCCGGGGAAGGAGTTACCCAGCTCTCCTGAGGTCTAGAGAAGGAAGCCTCCTAAATCCTGACTGTCCCCAGCTAGCTGGGGGGGTCTCAGACAGTCTTGAACACTTCTGAGCCTCAGTTTCCTCATCCTTATAGTGGAGATCATGACACCCCCTCATTCATACTTTGTCTCCAGGGTCCCAGTGCTTGGCACCTGCCATTGTCCAGTAAATGGTGGTAACTGGCCCTCTGTCCTCTCGTTATTCCTCGCACCTTCATCTTACTGGGAGGGGGCAGAGTGAGCTTGGAGGGTGAGCCATTATCCTACCCACTAAGCGGTAGGACAATCTCGCCTCACTGGGAGGGCCACCCTTACTTCCACACGTGTACCATTTATACGAGATGGTGGGAATTAGCAAGGAAAACAGCCAACTGGCTTCAGGGCTTCCTTCCTCTCTCTTTACCCCCAGCAAGAAAGGCCTGGGATTTTTCTGAGGCCCACCTTGTGGACTTATGGGGGCCCCCGTCCTCGGGATAGAATGGCTGTTGGGAGGGGTAGGGAGAGTCCCCAGACCAGCTCAGGGATGGCAGCTAGGGGCTTCTGGGAGACAGGCCACAGGCCCTTGGTGACACTAAGCCCCAGCCTGTCACACATCCCAAACCCAGGCCTGGTACAGAAGTGGCCAGGCCTCCTCCCCCTCCGAGGGACCATGGGAGCCCAGAGGGAGAAGAGCAGAGTAGTGAGCACCCCAGACAGCACTCGCCGATCCCTTCCCAGATGGCCTGCACCCCCAGACACCCCACGCTTAGGGCCTTCACGAGAGCTGGCCGGGGGCCCCAGTTGTGACTGGGATGGACTTCCTTCCAGCCCAGACAGACGAGAGCTTGAAGCAGGTTGCATTTCATTTGGAGAAATAAAAGTGACATTTCTCATACCTGCATGTTGAATGGTAGCAAATGTCTGCCCCCCACCCCCCCATAGCTATCTGAGCTTTCCTTCTGCGGAGAGCTGGCCCCCGCCTCCTGCAGTGCTGGGCTCAGCCGCCTGATCGGGTGGTGACGACATGCTCTGGGAAGCCAAGTCGGTGACATTTCCCTCTCAGAAGAGAGTGTGCTCCTTGCTCAGTTGGCAGCCTGCAGAAAAGGCCAGGCTACAGATCTCGCCTTTCCCAGGCGGCGGGAGGCAGGAGAGAGCCCCCAGCCTGGCAGGGACCGGGCAGCTTCCGCGTGGTAGGCAGATTGATCAGCTGGCAGGACAGCTCTCTGAGGAGGACACGTGGCTGCCGAATCATACTCTGCCTGGGTTACCTGGAAACAGGTCTCAGCCCCACCAAGTCCCCCTCTGCCTCCCTGCGAATTTCATCTGCCTTGCCCACCCTGCTGGTTGCTGTGTGTTTCAGAGAAGCGAGATGTGGTTGCAGAAGTCAGGAACTTCAGCAACACTGTAGAATGAAAAACACTGCAGAAACTAGGTTCGGGATACTTAGGCATCTGGAAAAAATTATATAAAGGCCCTAAAGTCAGACCTGAGACCATTACTTACCTGCTGCGTGAACTTGGGCAAATTTTCCAACTACTCTGAGCCCCGGGTTGCTCACCTGTGAAATGGGTCTCATAGTTACATAATAGGGTTCCTGGAATCATTCCGTGGGCAACGTGGTATAAAGCTGCCACCGATGTTTCTCACTAGATCATCTCCTCCCTTCGTCAGGCACGCGTGTGAGGTCTTTGTGCGGCTGTATACAGATGTGTGTGCTCTTTGTTGAATAAGATCATTTCCTGCCCACGTTACCAGGTATCAACACAATTGGCTAAGTCAAGGCCACATCATATTCTGTTCTGTCTGCCTGGATCTTCCTCTGGTTTCGGGCATTTGGGTTGTTTCCAGTTCTTTGCTATGGAAAATGATGCAGCTGAGAATATCAGCAAGCTTTTTTTTTTTTTTTTTTTTTGTTATGTGATCCTAACAGAACGCAATGGGGGTGGGGTGGGGAATTTCTTTCATGGCGATCCACAGATGGGCATATCCATTGTGCCCCAAAGCCAACTACAGAGTTTAGATGATCTGTGCCCTTTGAGTTATGTACCCTGCTGGTCTGAGACTAACACCATCCCCTTGGAAGATGCCAGAGGGTTCCTTGGTTAGTTTCTCAGCCCCTCAGATGAGGAGGAAGTGGCCGAAGTGCTTACATTTCCATGTCCTCTCTCTTGTAGAAAGTCTGCACCAAATGTGGGATCGAGGCCTCCCCCGGCCAGAAGCGGCCTCTGTGGCTGTGTAAGATCTGCAGTGAGCAGAGAGAGGTAGGATACCCAGGGCAGCGGGTGGGGGTGGGCTGGGGCGGGTGTGAGCACACTTGCGATTGGGGAAATTCATGGTTGGTCGCTGGGAGGGCCTTCTCTAGAGGCCAAGCAGGACTCCCAAGGATGGCCAGGGAGAAGGGCGGGGAGGGCTGGCCTGACTGCTTGCCTGTTCCATGGTGCAGAGGGGGCAGTGGGCCCTGGTTCTGCTATAACTGGGGGCCGTGGTTTCGATGGGGAGTCCCTCACACTGAGTGTAGGTGCGTATAGTATTTTGTGCGTAATGGCTATCCTAGGCTGAGTGTTTACTACACGCCCGACACTGCGCTGTTCTTTACATACCTAAACTCGTTTCATCCTGACACAACCCCATAGGTGGTTGCTATGATTATCCCCTTTTACTGGTGGAGAAATGGAGACAAGAGAGGTGAAGTACCTTCTGGGCACAAGGCTAGTTGGTGGGAGAGCTAGAAATCAAACACAGCCGTGGTCTGTTGTGATGATGCCACCCCAAAGTCCCTTCTGGTACGAAGTTTCCATACTTCCAGTTCTGACCCCATTTTAGGAGAAGAAATCAAGGCTCAGTGAGTTCTCTGAGGCAATCACAGATAGGGGACTCGAACTGTGTCTCCTAACCCCAAACCCAGGGCTCCCTTCACTGTACCAGGATCGGGGCTGAAACAGAGGATGTTGGCAGGCAGCTTCTCTCTATGGTGGGTCACAGGATGGGGATTGTGCTAACAGAACAGCTGGGCACAAATGGAGCATACCCCTGGTTTTCCAGATGTGGATTTATTTTTTTACTTATCTTGCTTAGCAACCGATATGGGCTTTTAATCTGAGGATCCATAAAAGGTCTTTGGTTATGGGAAATTTTCACCCATGCTGTCTTTGAATATGGCTCTCCGGCTACTGCATGTCTGCTCTCCTGGAAATCCTGTTGGATACATTGTTGAGCCTCAGTCCCTCCTCCAGGAACTCCCAACAGCTCTTTCTTGTTTCTTCCTTTATCCTTCTGGGATACCTTCTGGGTAGTGTCTTTAGTTCACTAAACCTTTGAGACTATCTCCCAACTGTTGGTTTTGTCCTTTGTCTTTCTTAGCGTCAGCTTTCCTCAAGTGTCTTGGAATTTGGGTTTGTATGCTCATCTTGAGTGGGAGTCAGTCTGTCTCCCTGCCCACCGCCTCCATCCAGATCTCCTTGCCAAGGGGTCTTGCGTTTCCTCCACCCAGGTCCTGGGCTCCCCCCCCCCGCCCCCGACTGCTCCGCACCCCGCCAGTGCAAAGCCATGGGTCTTGTTAGTGATGGGTTATGTGTCCACAGTGACGGTGGGATTATGCCCAGAGCTGATCATCACAGGCTTGGGCAGGGAGGCCATCTCTCCTTTTTCCAGCCTCCTTCCCCAGGTGGGAAATTCCTTCACCAGCTCCCATTTTCAGTGGCTCTGGCTCGGGTGCCCCACCTCCCAGGTGGCACTTTTAGTCCCCATACCCTGGAAGGCTAAGCCCCCAGTGGCCTCCACCTGCTTCTGGCCCGGGAGCTCAGCAGCCTGTGCCTTTAGCCACTCCAAGTAGTAACTGTTTGGAGTTTCTGATCCACTGAGATATATACATATATAATGTATCTTATTTTTAAGCACAGTTAAGTTTTCTTGTTGTTTTTAGATTATTTTCATCTGTCACTGCTGTGTTTTTGGAACAGGGAAGGTCCTCAGAGTATGAACTAACATTCTGTCTTGCCTGGAGGTCCCTGATTTCTCACCCTGAAATAGAGCTGAAAGCACGGATTTCCCAGAGGTGCTGCGAGAATTCAGCAAGGTCGTTAAAGCATACAAAGTGCACATAAATGTCTGGCTTAGAATAGGAACTTCGTAGCATCAGAGGCCTCCCTCTCACCCTGCCAGAAATCCCCACTTTGAACCTTAGGTCCTTCTGGTCTTCGGGGGTCCCTTTTAAGATGCGGGTCTCCACCGTCACGAGAGAGGAGATTCCTTCAGAGAGTATCTTGTGGCAGACACTTGGCAGGATGAAATGACGGTCACCCCCAAGCCGTGGGAGGACAGAGAGGAAGGAGCTGTCAGGGAAAAGGAGATGGAAGATGAATTTAGCAAACGTAATGATTTAGTGGAGCACTCTGGAGGCAGCTGCCTCTGGCCAGCCCCCGTCAGGTCGCCCTCACTGCCCCCCTCCCGCCAACTGTCCTGAGCTGCCGTGTGCAGGGCCCACATTTGGTGCAGACTTTGTTTCCTAATCTCCAGAGCCCAGAAAAGTCCAAAATAGCTTGGGATGAATTTTCTTATCTCTTCTAAGGCAAAGAATATGAGGCTGTGCAGTATGCTATCAGTTTGTCCTTGAATTTCTAGAGGCTGATACAATGTAGCCAGATGAGGAGTGCTCCAAGTTCCCTCTCTGCGGCCCCGGGCACACCATGCACAGTTAGGAGGTGTGACAGTGCGCGTGTCTAGGAGGCTGCGTGCCTGTGGGGGCCATACCCGGGGGCTGTGTTTTCCCACCTGCTTTGGGGTGGGAGAGTGACAGGGTAATTGGTGTCCTCATGCCTTTTCATCTTAGAAAAAATTAATCACAACAAAGAGATAGTTAAATAGAAAGAGCATTAAAAATGTCATTTTAAGTGCCACATAGAGCTGGTTCTGAGGCCGTGACAAAAATTTGGAGTTCTGTCCTGCGGCAGAAGCCACATCCTGATGGGAGAACCTGCATTTTCTGATGGAAACTCATACCTCTGGGCCCAGACGCTCGGGTCCACCTCTCCTTTTGACACTTCCCTCCTGCCCTCTCTGGCTGTAATTGTCCACATTTTTTCTGGGTGCTGGTTAAAGGTCCCTGGGGCTATCAGGTTGGTGATGCTGCCTGCTCTGTGCACTTCAGCGGTATAGCAAGGTGAACTTCAGCCCCAATCGAATGCATTTATCCATTGGAGCATCCAACACGTATTTATTGAGCATCCTCTATGCGCCAGGCAAAATAGCTCTTCTCGTGGGAGAGAGAGACCACAGACATCATAAATCCTGCCGTGTCACAGATGGCGACAAAGTGCTCAGGGTAAAGAGGGGGGTGCTGGGAACGTGGGGGGTAGCTGCTGTATTTTATATGGCGGTCAGAGAAGGGCTCACGGATGAGATGACATTTGAGCACACTGTGTGGCTCTGTGATTAGAAAGTATTCCAAGTGGAGGGTACAGTGAGTGCAAAGGCCCTGGAGCAGGTGGGTCCTTGGTAGGTTTGAGGATCAGCAAGGAGGCCGATGTGACTGGAAGAGGTCAGAGATGTGGCAGGGGGTCAGAGCATGTTGGTCCTTGTAGACCATTGTTAGGACTTTGGCTTTTGCTCTGAGTGGAAGGGGGAGCCCTTGGAGGGGTCTTGAATAGAGGAGAGACATGACCTGAATCTCCTCCCTCTTTTTTTGTTATGTTAATCACCATACATTACATCATTAGTTTTTGATGTAGTGTTCCATGATTCATTGTTTGTGCATAACACCTAGTCCTTCATGCAGAACGTGCCCTCTTTAATACCCATCACCAGGCTAACCCATCCCCCCACCCCCCTCCCCTCTAGAACCCTCAGTTTGTTTTTCAGAGTCCATCGTCTCTCATGGTTCGTCTCCCCCTCCAATTTCCCCCCCTTCATTCTTCCCCTCCTGCTATTTTCTTTTTTTTTTTTTTTAACATATAATGTATTATTTGCTTCAGAGGTACAGATCTGTGATTCAACAGCCTTGCACACTTCACAGCGCTCACCATAGCACATACCCTCCCCAATGTCTATCACCCAGCCACCCCATCCCTCCAACCCCCCCACCCTCAGTTTGTTTCCTGCGATTAAGAATTCCTCATATCAGTGAGGTCATACAATACATGTCTTTCTCTGACTGACTTATTTCACTCAGCATAATACCCTCCAGTTCTATCCGCGTCGTTGCAAATGGCAAGATTTCATTCTTTTTGATGGCTGCATAATATTCCAGTGTGTGTGTGTGTGTGTGTGTATACACCACATCTTCTTTATCCATTCATCTGTCGATGGACATCTTGGCTCTTTCCACAGTTTGGCTATTGTGGACATTGCTGCTATAAACATCGGGGCGCACGTACCCCTTCGGATCCCTACATTTGTCTCTTTGTGGTAAATACCCAGTAGTGCAATTGCTGGATCGTATGGTAGCTCTATTTTCAACTTTTTGAAGAACCTCCATACTGTTTTCCAGAGTGGTTGCACCAGCTTGCATTCCCACCAACAGTGTAGGTCTCCTCCCTCTTTTTAAAAGGTACTCTGGCTATTGTTTGGAGAATAAATTGTGTACTATAATGTCAGAGTCAGTATGATGGTGTTTCATCTCTCTTAGTTAATATTACCCCAGATATTTAAGTTCTTGGCTGTTGTCACTCTTAGAAGTTTTCATTTTTTTATTTTTATTTTTTTAGATTTTTTTAAATTCATTTGAGAGAGAGAGTGCGAGCGAGAGCACAGGCAGGGGGAGGAGCAAAGGGAGAAGGAGAAGCAGATGCCCCGCTGAGCAGGGAGCCCGACACGGGGCTCGATTCCAGCACCCTGGGATCATAACCTGAGCCAAAGTCAGACTCTGAACCAACTGAGCCACCTGGGCACCCCTATTGTTTTTATTTTTAAGTAATCTCTATGCCCAACGTGGGGCTCAAACTCACAACCCCAAGATCAAGAGTCACATGCTCCACCAACTGAGCCAGCCAGGTGCCCTGAAGTTTTCATTTTTTTTTTAACATTACATACATTTTACTCTTTTCTGATTATGAAATTAATATGGATTATTGACATTTACAGTGTATCAAAAAGCATAAATACACACCCCCAATTGAAAATCTTATGATCCAGAGACAATCACTGCCAACATCTTGGCATGTTTACTTCTGATGTTTTTTCTGCCTTTTTTCTTTATATTGTTGAACCTATGTTTTAAAATTAACATATCGGGGCACCTAGGTGGCTCAGTCGTTAAGCATCTGCT